AGAAGTTTCATACTTTGAGGTTGACATGGCATGAGTGTATTCAAAAGGCACTCATGCGGTTTACTCTTAATGGTTCGAAGCCGGTTAGCTCTCTGCTACCTTTGCATATCAAAATCACGAAGAAAGATTGCGTTCTTGACGAGAAAGGCAAATCAAAGATGGAGAAGATTCCTTATGCTAATGCAATTAGGGGGTTACTGTATGCTATGGTATGTATGCTTCCCGATCTTTCACGTTGTGTTGGAGTGTTTAATTGTTTTCTCTCGAAACCTGGTAAAGCACATTAGGTAGCCATAAATATGATACTTTGCTACTTGAAGGGAATTGTATCTCATTGATTGATATTTGGTACAAGTAACAACTATGATATAATCGGATATTGTGATTCCAATTATGTAGGTGATTTAGTTGGAAGTCGATTTCGATTTATAGGCTCACTCTCGGTGGAACGAATGTCTTGTCAACTAACAAGGCTTAGTTAAAATAGCCACGATTGAGATCGTGAAGAAGTGATGCATTTGCAACAATTATTGGTTGACTTAGGTTTGTCACAACTCTGTGGTAATGAACTGTGATAGCCAAAGTGCTATACCTCTTGCCTCCAATCTTGCGTTAAGTTCAAGAACTAAGCACATTAATGCAAGGGAAGCATATCTAGTTGCATTGGACGAAGAGAAGGTCATGCACTTGACAAAGATTAGTACTCAAGAAAATGTAGTAGACGTGTTCACCAAGTCCTTGCCATCGTCAAAATTTCAACACTGCTTGAATTTGATATACTTGAAGTTGTGTTAGTTCCGTGATGGTTGGGAGAGGCGATTTGGAATCGTCGTGAAGCTTTTTTTGGGGATATTACACAGTGGGTTACTATGTTACATTTTGTTTTGCACATTTAGGCTTTTATATCTCTTTAGATTTTGATGGGTGATGGCCATGCTGTGGTTTGCCATTGTTGAAATGCATTTGATGCTAATGATTTTGCTATTTTTCAATTCAATATCTTAGGTATCTGTGGTGGTACCTTTTTGAGGGTTTGTGCATCAAGGTGGAGTGTTGTATTTTAAGATGCTTGCACAACCCTACATTGGCAACCTAGATAGGCATGCCTAGGGCGCTGTATGGTTGTTTTTTTTTATTTATGAAAACATGTATGGATTAAGTTGTATTTATGAATTAAGTCGTCTAAATTGTTGTTTGTTTGTTTTGCTGAATAAACAATCTGAATGACATAAGTGACTATTTTACTCCTCGATCTAGATTATGCTTTTTTCCATTTGATGAAACACCTTATCAAAAGTGAATCATTAAAATATATGAACCAACAATAACAATGAACTAACAAAAATGACCAATCTTTAAACTGTCTCAATCAACAATAACAAAAATCATTAGAATATGTACTTGGAGGATTCCAAGAAGTCGAAATACAACCCACACTTCTCTCACTCATTTTGTCAAAAGCTTTTTGTGCACAAACATTTCATCTAACCAAAAGTAATAGTTGGATAATCAAAAGTCATTTTGCACCAAGAAGAAATAGCAAAAGAGGCCATAAAAGATGGATCATAAGCTAAAATAACAAAATCTTTTCCAAGAAAACATAAAATTATAGACAATCAAAATCTATTTTGCACCAAGAAAATTTTGCAGACTTCTCAAAACCAAGAGCAGGGGATTCATGGCCATTAACACACGGGATTCATGGTACCATTAGAGTCCTCACCACCATTGAACTTCAACAAATAGTGAACCCCTGTTCCATTATCACAGCAACCCTCAAAGCCTCATTGGAGGTTTGCACTATTGTCAATTCCATCCTATAAACAAAGAGTCCCATTTTTTTTTCCGATCAACATCCTGAAGATCAACATTATCATGTTCTACTGCAGACCAGATGGAGAGATGGATAATGGGAGTTCTTTGGGTGGTGTCTTGTTGGATCGAGAGATGGAGCATCATACCAACCCTCCTCCCTAGTACTAGACCAAATGGATATATCAAGAGGATGGGGATGGAGATGAAAGAGGATGGGTAAAAGTGGAATAAATGGCCGAATCCAAATCTAGTGGACTCATTTCTTGGCTCTCTGCATGAGCCATCTTCTTTGCCATTAAGCACTTCCATAAACTATACATGGCTTACTAAATAAGCCGTAAGCCCCATTCAACCCGTTCCAAGATGCCCCTAAGTGTTCATGTGCCTGGCCAAAAGGTTTGGCAAGCTTCAACTCGCGTGGAGTCGTTGATGGAAAGTGGGCGACCTAAACTTGCGATGCCAAGTTGCGCAGGTAGGTCGCATGGCTCAGTGGCATTCATTCGTAATTAATTTTGAACTCTTGATACATGTTTTGTGACAAAGAGCTCATGATCTACGCAGGTCGCCACACTGGCTCATGATCAATTAGAATGGGAACCGGGAGACTTAGCCTCGCGATGCCTTGTCAACCAATTTAGGTTGCATACAGGGTTTTGGCTAACGAGGAACGATTTCTAGGTCAAAATTTTATTGGATTGTTTTTCAAGAGTTGGTTCCATTTTCGGGACTAGCAAAAACGAACTTGGAGCTATTTTTCTGTATCATTGGATCATTAATGTAAGTTGCTCATAACTCCCATTTGATTAATAAGATCGATTTCTTTCTTCATCCGGACGGACATGCGTCTACATTATACATCAATAGTGGAACCACGTTAAATCTCGGGGTGCGTTTTGCATGTCATTGCTTTACTTGTGTATTTGTGATTGTTATTGTCTTTACATTGCTTGTGGATTGCTTATTGTGGATGGATTGTTGAACATGTATTGCTAGACTCATATTGTTCACTTATTGTAGACGGATTGTGGATTCCAGTTGTTTGTTTGATACCGTTTGGATCATTGGTCGCTACTTGTGGTTGATATTCACAATACAGTGACCATAAAAATGTGCATGTGTGCCAATAAATTGTTAGCATTGGCATTGCTTACTTATTGTGAAACCTAGATTGGGAGTCTGTGGTTTTTGCTTCAAACAAAGAATCGGGTCCGTGATCCCCACAAAAAAAAGGGAATCCTTCACCACTGGTATGAGGGGTTTAAGTTTAGGCATGGTTGTTCACTAATATATCTTCTTTTCCTCCGAGGTATGACATCTTTTTCCTTTTCTTTGTTCTTTCGATATTGTTGCCACTTTGTCTGCCTGCTGTTGCATAGTCTTTCTTGGATTTAGATATGTTCCTTTTCCGGGCAATAAGTTCCAAACAGTGTCTTATTATTGTTAATTTTAACTTTCGCCTTTTTAAAAACAAAATCTCTAATCAGTTTTTTAGAGTAAATTGTGATCAATTGTTTTAATCTCTGTTGGGTGTGTTGTGATAACTTGATGTTTGTGAAAATACTTCCAATAATATTGATTTGCTGAGAAGATCTAGCTGTCTCTTGTGCACAACGAGCTCCGCCAAGTTCCTATCTGCAGTTTTAGTGTAAAAGTAATCATGTCAATAGTGTATGCATAAAGTTGATGCTGGTTAATTTTTTGCCTGCATTTGACCTCTTCTTATCTTGTATGTTATGCTGCATGATTTGTTTTCATGGACACAAAATTAACATATTTCATTGGGATCTTGTGAATCACATGCTTTAGCTACTCCAAAAAAGCAACCTTGACCTAGTCTAGTGAACCCTGAGAATTAAGAGCCTTCTATTGTACTATGAAGGCAGTCTTTGAATTGGCCACTAGCAATGTATACTAATTTATTGTCATCAGAGACTCAATTTAGCACAGTTTTTGCTAAATCCATCTGTTCCATCTCTTCAGTATCCTGCATAGTTAGCATCAGACTTGTTATCTTTGTCTTGTTTGTATTGGTTCCCTGAGCTTATCCAGTTATCCCAGTGTGATGAGTCTTACTGGCTTCAACCCCTTGTTTTCCTTATGTTCTTTACTAACTTAATTGGCATTTTGAGGGATTAGTGAGTTAATGGTTTATAATTCAAGCATACTTGGTATATCCCATTGAGAGGTAGGGTCTTTAAGGGGGTAGGGTTGAGATGTATGTGGACCTTTTATCGATCCCAAAGGGTAGAGAGGCTCTTTCGTTTGAAGGCCCCAGCTGCAAGAAGTTGTGGGAAGTCGTGGGCAAAATGAAAAGTTTGTCGAAATTGGAAGTTTTGCAGACTTCAAAAAAGATAAAGGAGAGCATGAGACAGACGAAAAACATAGCAAAAGGATGTGCAAGTATGCATCAATGACAGTAAGCTGCAAAGACAGTAGGGACATATTTGAGGAAAATCGATTAAAACATGCAAGGAAACACTGAAATGCTTAAAACTTTGTACCAGAAACTACTAGGACAATATCGTTCCTTCTAACCATCTTATGCCATTGGTACCCTATCTGTTGGCTCTCTGACCCTTCCCACATCTACATCAAAATCCGCTACCCTTTTCCTGCTTCTCCAAAAATTCCTCTCAACGGATTCTGCAGAAGGAATTTTTGGCTTTCGACACAGTGTTGATGTGAATTTTTGTAATGCAAATTTGGAATTCCATGCAGAAGGAATTTATCCTTTGTTGAAGGCTATTCTTTCTTACTTGTGGGCAATGGAAGGGTCCTCGATTTGATTTGGGTGGATGTTGTTTTGGGATACAAGTCAACTTGATATTATCATTGCTTGTTCAATTGGTTAGGTATTTCAGCATTCTTGTGTTCTTGAATCGAAGATCCGGCCATCCATTTTGTGCAGCTGATGGTTGTTTGTGATTGGTTCTTTTGTAAAATCGTACAAGTCCTTTAGCTTGAGCATTGTCTCTGTAGGGCAATAAACATTCTTGTAAGGAATTACAATGGTTTTTAATCTCCCCTTCATGGTCACAAAATGTGTAAATGGGGAGTATGTATATTGATGAATGTTGATAAGCACAATCTATCACTTTCTTTTGTATCTGCTTGACAGGAATTGCTAGTGAAATTTATTGGCTTTTGCTTTTATTTTACACAGCTTCTCTCGACATGCATTTCAGGTTTGCAAGCACCCTTTTTCATTTTCACCTGTTTATGCTGAGAATGCGCCTACAAGGCTTCCTTTTCAAGAGTTTGTAGTTGGGATGGCAATGAAAGCATGTCATGTGTTGCAGTTCTTTCTGCGGCTCAGTTTTGTTCTTTCTGTATGGCTTCTGATCATACCATTTATTACTTTCTGGATATGGCGCTTCTCATTTGTTAGGAATTATGGTGAAGCCCAGGGACTGTTCTTGAGTCATATCTCCACTACAGTTATCCTTACCGACTGTCTTCATGGGTTCTTGCTCTCTGCTAGTATCGTGTTTATTTTTCTTGGGGCCACATCTTTGAGGGATTATTTTAGACATTTGCGAGAAATTGGAGGGCAGGAGGGTGACAGAGAAGATGAAGGAGATAGAAATGGTGCTCGTGTTGCCAGAAGACAACCTGCTCAAGTCAATGGAAATCTTATTGGTGAGGGTAATGCTGAAGATGCCGGTGGGGCACAAGGGATTGCTGGGGCTGGTCAGATGATCAGAAGGAATGCAGAAAATGTTGCAGCCAGATGGGAGATGCAAGCAGCCCGTCTTGAGGCGCATGTTGAACAGATGTTTGATGGTTTGGATGATGGGGATGGGGCAGAGGATGTTCCTTTTGATGAGCTAGTTGGCATGCAGGGTCCTGTTTTCCATTTGGTGGAAAATGCATTTACCGTGAGTATAATATTCTATTGCTGTTGCCATCCCCCTTGATCTTTCTCTTAACTGTTCTTATGGTTTTCTGCAACTAATATTTTCATAGATGATATTCAGTCTGGTTTAACTGAGGAAGGCTTCATTACGAAATGCATAACATTTAGGCACACAGTAGCAGAAGGGCCCCCCCCCCCCCCCCCCCCCCCCCCCCCGGCCGGGTTAATGATTTATGATATATACATCTCTATTTATTATAAAAATTCCACCCCTGCTGGCTCTGCCACTTAAAGAGACATTGTTTAATGGTGGATTGTGACATTAATCTTAATTGTCAAAGGAAGTTACTTCATCTCTAAACGCCTTTAATTATGGCTGCTTTCCTAAAATGCACACTTAAAATTTTATGAGACCTTTGTGGCATTTGCCACCACTCACCATCTTATGATGTATAATACATGATTATCTGCAATAATAACCTGAATGGTATGATGATTCTTGGCAAGTCAATTACATGATCATAGAACCGTGTTTTTTTAATTTATTATTGTGAGCTGCATGCTTCTTTTGGATCATCTACGTATAGGGTTAACTTTAGCTTTGTTCTTTTAAGCGAGGAGATGGCCCCACCCCGTTTATGCTTATGAGGTGACTTTCTTACTAAAGGAAGCGATTTGCTTCCTAGGTTTTCATATGTTACTTCTTATCGTCTTTTTGTAGATGTTAACTATTTACTTGGTTGTTTGATGTACTGTGATATATTTAAATACTATGTTGTTTTTACACCTTAGTACACTATAGAACCACTGATATGTCGTGTTCCTTTTGTTTCAAACCATGTATGTTCATCCGTATGCCGATTCTTTTTTACCTTGTCTTGCTGACAGGTTCTTGCAAGCAACATGATATTTCTTGGGGTTGTAATCCTCGTGCCTTTCCACCTAGGACGGTTTATACTCTATCATTTGTCATGGTTTTTATCATCTGCCACCAACCCAGTGTTGTCAAATGCTGTACCGTTTAGTGAGCAAGCACTTTCCCTGGCCAATATTACATTAAAGAATGCACTGACTGGGGTTGCGAATTTGACATCTGATAACAACCCAGATAACAATGTGCTTGGCCAGGTCGCAGACATGTTAAAGGTGAATTCTACTGGACTTGTTGAGAACAACGTCACAACTGCCAGTTCAGCAGATATCCTGAAAGGAATTACCCTTGGGGCGTCACGGTTGTCTGATGTTACAACTCTTGCTATTGGCTATATTTTCATTTTCTCACTTGTCATTTTCTACCTTGGAGCTATTGCGGTTATTAGGTACACTAAAGGAGAGCCTTTGACCATGGGAAGGTTTTATGGTGTTGCTTCTATTGCTGAGACAATTCCTTCGCTCTTCAGGCAGTTTGTGGCAGCAATGAGGCATTTAATGACTATGATAAAGGTTGCCTTCCTTTTGGTCATTGAGCTAGGGGTTTTCCCTCTGATGTGTGGATGGTGGCTAGATGTTTGTACTATAAGGATGTTTGGCAAGTCGATTTCTCAAAGAGTCGAATTCTTTTCAGCCTCTCCATTGGCAAGCTCATTGATTCATTGGGTTGTAGGGATTGTCTACATGTTACAGATATCAATCTTTGTCAGTCTTCTGCGTGGGGTATGTACTCCGATATCTTTTTTCTGTATTACGCTTCATATTCCAGTTTCCTCTCCTTTTTAATGTGAGTAATTATTCTTCACATGCACTGGGCAGGTTTTGCGTAATGGAGTTCTTTATTTTCTGCGAGATCCAGCTGATCCTAATTACAATCCGTTTCGGGATCTGATTGATGATCCTGTCCACAAGCATGCACGTAGGGTTCTGTTGTCAGTCACTGTTTATGGGAGCTTAATTGTAATGCTGGTATTTTTGCCAGTCAAGCTTGCCATGCGAATGGCTCCATTTGTCTTCCCTCTTGATATATCGTAAGATCGTATTCTATGTTTCCGAGCATCAACTATCTTATGTTAAATTTCTACTCCGTTTGGTACTTTTGCTCACAGTCACTTTCTGTCATTGCAGAGTATCTGATCCATTCACCGAGATCCCTGCTAATATGCTTCTCTTTCAAATTTGCATCCCATTTGCAATTGAGCACTTTAAGTTACGGGCAACAATCAAATCACTCTTGCGCTACTGGTTTGCTGCTGTTGGCTGGGCACTTGGTTTAACTGATTTCTTATTGCCCAGTCCTGAAGATGAAGGTGGACAAGAAAATGGGAATGGAGATCCTGTAAGGCAGGATAGGCTACATGGTCAACTAGGTGGTCAAGATAGAGCCGTGGTTGGATATTTGGCCCCTGAAGATTTAAACAGAGCGAGGCAGGCAGCAGCTGGTGCTAATCTTGCAGAAGAAGCTGATGGTGATGAACAATCTGACTCGGAGTAAGTTGTAGTAAGCTGTTACATCAATGGTGTACCAAATCATGAATTACGTGTCAATTGGAAGTCACTGGATCACACTTGAACCGTAAGAAGGTTGATGAACTGCAAAAAAAGAGTTAATGGCAACAAAACAAGTATAAGAATCAATCTGACAGTAGTGAATAGTTTATAATACATGATCGCATTGAAAGAAACATTAATCTGTTAGTGTCTGACTGAGAAAGGGGGAGAATAGGGTGGATGGAAGGAGGATCGTATCATCATGCCACCTTCCATTAGGCCACACATCGTTACTAGCTTCATTGTCTCATTTCCAACCATCATTGCAAATATCGTTGTTGCCTTCATGCAGTTATCGCTTATTATACTAGAAGGATGAGCATGCTCTTTAGTAATTTAAATCTTTTTATGCGTTAATTCTCAATTAGAACCCCTAAAAGACATGTTTAGAAAGAAGAAAAATGCAATATGTGATACTGACTACCCTCACCAATGCACATCCTACTCATATAGTTTGTCTCTCAATTTTGAATGCTGAACCTCACACTATTTGCTTTTTTCACCCTTACGTCACCACCTTTTCTTTAATCCATCTCCCCACACTGCCATCACAACTTCTGACATGAGGATTTACATGAGATAAACTGCTTCCATGTCGTTCCTGCTACACCAAAATGTCTCCAAGGAAATTTTTTGACTTGATGACATATCTCATTGTTAATCTGATGCTACAACTTGAGACTTCAATATAGAAGCTCTGATGCATCATGCAATCAAGTTTAATACAGTAATATCCGAAAACCAACTTCTTATACCTATATGGGAGGTTTCTCCTTGTACAGTTTAATCAATGCATGAAATGCCATGAACTCTAGGAGTTGGTTGTCCCTTGTCTGTTGGATAATATAACTAAGTTTTGATTTCAAACTGTTGTGCTCTAGATTAGACATGTATCTTCCATCTGATACTGGTTTTTAAATCTACTAGGAGGTATGGATTTGTACTCTGTATAGTGCTGCTTTTGCTGGTGGCATGGATGACACTGCTGGTCTTTAATTCTGCTATAATTGTGGTGCCTATATTTCTTGGACGAGCACTGTTCAACTCAGTTCCCCTTCTCCCAATAACACATGGCATAAAATGCAATGGTAAGAAGTTTAACTAGAGGCCTGTTGTCATTCTTGTGCTATGCAGGCATGGACTGGAACTTATTGTTTTATTTTGCTTCATTGAAACTTACCTCCTGTCTTATTCTATTGGTATATTATATTATTATTACTCACGGAAATAACGCAAAATACGTCTTAGAGCATCTCCAGCAGAATCTCCGAAATGGAAAAAAGATGAGAGAGAAGGAAATTTTCTCCATATTTGGAGAGGGAAGATACATTAATTATTTTATACTTACTTTTGGAGGAGAGAGAACATAAAATTATCATTTTATCGGAAATTTGTTTGAAAGTGTGGGATATTATATGTATTGAATGTTTTAATAATATAATTAATTCTAGAATTTCCAAAATGGAGAGATTGCTGGGGTTGAATGTAAAGTTTTTGGAGATTTTGAGATTTCATCTATTTTGGAGAAATTATGGAGAAACTGTAGGGGGATGCTTTTAAACTGCTTTTTTGCAACAATTTCTATGATCTTGGGTCAGAAAAGATGTTTTCCTGTTTCTGCATCAATGGTTTGCAAGTTCTTTTCTGGTAATAAAAGAATCATGATATTATGATCATTCCAGAAGCTTCTCACAAAATAAGTTCATTTAAAGCGAACTGCAACTCAATGAACTTGTTATCTCATTTTGTTTCCTATTTTGAGAAACAGACACTGACCCTGCAATTATCATTTCCTTTAGACCTATATGCGTTCATCATTGGAAGTTATGTCATCTGGACTGCACTGGCTGGTGTAAGATATTCCATTGAACAAATCAAAACAAGGAGAGCTACAATTTTATTAGGTCAAATTTGGAAATGGTGTTCGATTGTTGTGAAAAGTTCCATATTGCTGTCTATATGGGTAAGACCATGTTTCCTGTGGGCTATTTCTCTCCACTAGGTTTCTCTTTTCTTTCACCTCAGCTAATGCTATCCTTTTACAGATTTTCATGATACCAGTGTTGATTGGCCTGCTCTTTGAGCTTTTGGTAATTGTACCAATGCGGGTTCCTGTAGATGAAAGCCCAGTTTTTCTATTATATCAAGATTGGGCCCTTGGACTTATTTTCCTCAAGATATGGACTCGATTGGTGAGTTACTTAGCATCTGAGCATTCATCAATATCAATGCATTTACTTGAATTTTTTCTATATGTTGCCATATATGTATTCAGTTCTAGAAGTTCATTCATTGTCTAGTAATTGGTTTAAATTATGAGTGAGGTGGTCTTGGGTTATTCATTATTGGTCTTGATCCATCTTTTTTCTTCTAATCATAGTAATGGTTTCATGGTGTCATGCAACTTCTGACGCAAAGCTTTCTTGTTCAAGAATACTTTGAAGTGTTTGGATTTTCATAGAGCTTATTGCGAATTAGTCCATAATTCAGATGGGATGGTTCTGCGATAGCTAGTCTAATATGTTTAGTAGAGTTAGCCATACGAACATTATATTACCTAATATGTACATCATTCATTCAAATATTGATATCGCTACTTGCTTGAATAATTATTATAGGCCTGGGGTGTTACAGTCAGCTTAACAGTCTTGATCGGTTTTTCTGTGGATTCTGGTGTTTCTTTGAGTATATAATTTTTTAAATACAGCAAAGTTTACCCGCACTTCTCACCTTTGGTGAGGCTTGAACCTTTGACCTTCCGGTGATTTCATTGCTATTTTTCTGCTTCTGTATCCCAAATTTTATGCTATGATGTGAAACACATGGCCATAAGTTCATTAAATCAGATCACAACGAGGAAACAAGTTTAGTGCTATTAACGTAGTTTTCCATCTGATCTTCTAAACAGGTAATGATGGATCATGTGTTGCCTCTGGTGGACGACAGCTGGCGGGGAAAGTTTGAACGGGTGAGAGATGATGGTTTCTCCCGGCTGCAAGGCTTTTGGGTGCTACGTGAGATCGTGGTCCCCATCGTTATGAAGCTGTTAACTGCTCTGTGCATCCCTTATGTATTAGCTCGAGGGGTATTTCCGGTATTTGGTTACCCACTAGTCGTCAATTCAGCGGTTTACAGATTTGCCTGGTTGGGGTGCCTTGGTTTCAGTTTGTTATGCTTTTGTGCAAAGAGGTTCCATGTCTGGTTCACCAACCTTCATAACTCGATAAGAGACGACCGCTATTTGATTGGCCGAAGACTTCATAACTTTGGGGAAGACAAACAAGAAACTCCACATCCACATCCCGTGGTTGAGACCTCGGGTTTCGTGGGACTTGCATTGATGAGAGACAACGGAGGTGAAGCTGATTTGGGGTTGAGGCATAGGCGCAATATTCCGCTAGAGGATTGAAACAGGTGGTTTCTGGCACATAGAAGGGTAAGCAATGTTTCTCATCATCAATCCACAACTTAACTTGGTTTCGTGATTTTTCAGGTTTTTTTTTTTCTTCGTACTTTTGTGAATATATGGTTTGTGGGAGGTTAGGCAAAAGAGTATAAAGATATGAAACTTAATGTATTTTGTGGGGTCATATAAAGAGGGTGTTTACCATTTAGGATCTTGTGCAATCGTTAAGCCGATGTTAGCGGTGTTCCAAAAAGGGTTTGACCAGTATAAACCGATTTGATCGTGAACTAGCCTGGAATGTCGGGTCTCTAATTGTAACTTAATTGCATTAATGTCGATGTTTTGTGATACTGTTAGAGTAATGAACCATGGTTTAGAGATTGGGTTAATAAGATTACCATTTTAATGTTGAGATCAAATGGTCAAGTGAAACATAGTTTGTATTCAATTTAGTTTCGTCAAATGGTACAAAATGATATGGAAGCAATGGTAATATACTGCACATTGTAGACATACATGCTCATTTTCTTTGATGAGGCTTTATCCCTTGATCCCCAAGTACGTTGGGTTTTATTATCGGTAATCCGGATAATCCGGATACTGTCGGGTCATTGACCTGTTAATCAAAATGTATTGAAGGGATGGAAAGTGATGATCCATGCCGTATCTTTTGTTCGTTTTTAGAACAGACAATAACAAAGTAAAAAGTTTGTAGACGAGAAATTGTTCACGTAAAATATGTATGTTGAAGGACGCGATTTTATGATCGTTTATTTGCATTCAGGAGGTTTTAGCAAAGACGGTTGATAGGATCTAATATTTTTAATATTTTTTATGAGGCTTTATCCTTTGATTTTAATATTTTATTTTATTCTTATCTCAATCGATATTATAATATGATCTTATGTTATTTTAAAAAAGCGATGATGTTTTTATTTTTGAATAAAATATAAATTTGAAAACAATAATAAAATTTGACAAAAATATATCGATATTAGTATCAAATTAACTATTTAAAATTCATCATTTTTTGTGTAATTTTTTAATTCAATTTTTTTAATTATAATTTAATTTACATTCAATAATGAAATAATTTATATTGGGTTTAATAATATGATTTTTTTATAAAAATAATAGTTAATTATTTTATTAGAATCGATAATTATTCTAATTATACTTTAGATTTTTTTATATTTTAAAATGAGATGTCCATCATCTATTTGATTATGTTTATCCGTAGTTAGTTACACAAATTGAAACATGAAGCTTTAATAAGTCATACTTACACATAATTTACATGTAATCTTGAATTTTAAGTAATATGCATCAATATACAATAATTAATGCATAAAAAATGATTTTTAAGAGTTTTTATTAAATATTTTATAATATAATATAGATAAAAGAATGAGTTATTACTTCTCATTATTATGTTTGGTTGGCGTCTGAGAATTAAAATAGTCAGGATTAAACTTCTAATCTAGTTTTTATCTCAAAATAAAAAAATTAAACAAAAAAAATTAAAAAATTAAACAAAAAAAATAAGAAAAATGAAAAGCAAAAGAAGGTCATCTAACCGCGATTCAAGCTTGGGGGTTGGCGGTTTGAATCTCCACCGGCCTATTCGGCCGCTTTCACTTTCCGCTAGGTGTCCATCTTCTTCACGGCTGTTCTCCGTTCAACAACATTCTCCGTCAAACCCCCCACTTATAGCTTTCACACTTCCACCCACGCGCATAATGTGATTCCCTCTCTCTCTCTCTCTCTCACACGAATTTTCCTTTAGTCTCTAGCTAGTGTTCTTGATGAGTTTTGTAATGGATTCGATCATCTTACCGGCGGCTTGTATTTCCGCTGTTGTTTCTGCTTCACAATTACGTCGGTTACGGTGTACGTCTTCACACTCTAGCGGTTTGCGCGGCCGGAAACTATCCGTTACTGATTCCTCACTGCGGTTCTCCAACCGCGATCATAGTTGGTCGCCGGCCGTTCATTCAGTCGCTGCTGATACGACTAATTCCACGCCTGTAAGAATTTTGCTTTTATGTGATGTACTTTTTAGTTTCCCTGTTTGTGTGTTATGTCGATAGCGTGTTCTGCTTTACTTTTTCAGATCTGACATAAAACAGAAGGTAGCTTGTGGTTTTTGTTTTCAATTTACGGTGTATTATTTGTATTAGGTGCTAGCGTGTCGGAAAATTAAGAAGCCATGGCAATTGCAGTCATCCGGAGCCTTCCCATTCATAAATAGTTAGTCTTAGGTAGCTATGCAATGCGCTCTTGTTTTTCCATGTGAAGGATGGGGAATCAAAACCAGATGTATTTCTATACGAGATTTCATCATGGCATAGTGATGAATTGCTAGTCGAAACTGAACCAAGATTCGATACACTATCAATATCGATCTCAAAGGAGACAAAATCCGAAGACCATAAGCTCCGAGTTATTGGCCTTGTGAGTTGTCTAGAAGAGTTGCGAGTGGCCCAGTATAAGAGTTGCATTCTATTTTCATACTTACAATTGAAATTAGAATGCTGTATCTTGTGAGGGAGAATGAGAGAGCATAGCGAAAGAGGGGATGAGTGTGAGAGGATAGAATCTGTCCAGATTGGTTTAACGTGGAAAAATGAAGTAACTGAATCCATTGAGTGCCCTGTTACATCTGTAGCTCTCATATCTGTAAAAAAAATTGAATCCCTTGGATGTACTATAGCTCTTAAGTCCATAAATGAAGTGGTTGGAGTTGTAACCTTGGAAGAGCCTAAGTTTTGTGCATCTTTCACCGGATAAAATGATAATTGCCTTCCTCAAGTTTCTCTTTTCGGCTGAGTTACTGAGGGTCCAAAAAGAATGTATCTCCATGAATTCTTGTGATCATAAATACAAGTCGTGAGAGGACATAGATTTTTTTTTTTTTTTTTTTTGCAAAAATGTATCTCCATGAATTCTTGTGATCACAAACATGATTAGTGAGAGGACATAGAACTAATTAGAAAGATACTTTATAGCACTAAAACTTGAAACAAGGGATGCACAAGCCTTAAACTCCCACAACATATCCTATTATTGGCCAAACTGAGCTTTGTTTAGGAGGGTGTTAGGTGCTGAAGTCCTCTGCAGCTTTGTTTATGCTGTTACTTCTCCGCATAATATTTGAACTCTTCATCTCCAAAACGTGTATCTTGCTAGTCTTCGAGTAACGTTCAGTGTCTACTTATTGGCACGATACTGGCACCTTAGTCTTACTTAGGTGACCAAATTAATTTTGAACAAATATAAGGCAAGAGTGAAGCAGGACTAACGAGAGATGATAGGAGTTCTTCTAGAACATATTCTCGGATACTGGATGAAACCCCATCTTCCAGTAGATGGTATGTTTCTATGGAAATAGATAACAAATGTAGCTGCATTTGTTCACATTCATGCTCTATCTACAGATCAGACTGGAGGCGAGTTATGTTCTGTGCACAGATAGATGTTTTGCTTATTCGGGGAAATTATTTGATAGGAACATGGTGCCCAAAAAAGCTGAGAACATCCAGCTTGAGATGCAGAGCAACAGAGGTTGACAAATTGTGGGCTCCACATCCATCAGTCATTAGTTGTTTCTGGGGAAGAGTAATATAGTATATTTAACCATAGTTTGAAATCATAAATACTCTTGAGCATGTTTAGGTAATTGCAGAAATTACCTTGTTTTACATTTCACTTCAGTTAGTATTTCCCTGATTTCTTATGTCCATTTGCAGCCAAGAGATGGAATATATACAGTTGGTGATTTTATGACGAGAAAAGCGGACTTACTTGTAGTAGAGGAGACAACACCGGTTGACAAGGGTATGCATGGTTTAGGCGTTTTGCTTGGTAAATATGCAGATCAATATCCCATCCAATTTTCTTTCTGTATTAACAGCACTAGAGATTCTTGTGGAGAAAAGAATTACCGGATTTCCAGTGATTGATGCTGATTGGAATTTGGTATGTTCCTTCCCTTGGCATAGTTATATTTTTGTAGCTCGAGCTAAAACTATACTCTTGGTAGTGTAATGAATTATTCTCGATTTATGCAGTCATTGCATTAAGAAAGAATTTACCGGTACCATCTCTCTTTCTAAATGTCTCCAGGTTGGTGTGGTATCAGATTATGACTTGTTGGCGCTTGACTCAATATCAGGTACTATTTGTATTCCTCCATCCTCAGTTGAACTTGTTGGATTACATTTCTGACAACTATAATTACTTCTAGCCAATCCTTACACTGAAATCAGATGTATTGGATTTCATAACATTCTGTCAAGAATGTTATATATTCTAATTTTAGTTTCAGATGATGAAAAGGGGCATTGCTATCAGCAGGTATTTTAATCATGGACTTAGATTTTTGGGTCTACCAACTTCTAACTCAAACTTGAAGTTGAATCTCAGATTTGTGTCAGGATAGCTTAGGTTAGAAAAATTATTGTAAGAATAGTTATTGGAGGAACGACAAGCGCTGGCTCGATGTCAATGATGAGGTTGCTTTATTGTGTATTTGCCACCCTTGTTCATTTTCCCCATATCTAGACTTGGAGGTTATGGTTCAAACTTCAAACTGTGCAAGCAACCTTCCTGCTTGCTTCAATGTTTAGATTGCATATGATAGACCTTCGAGAGCTCTGATATTGCTGGAATTGAGTTCAAGTCCTCTTTTGGAATCATAACTGGGAGTTCATAAGACCTTAGTCTTTTGACCATGTTGCTTAGTTGTGACTGGTTACTATCTTTTTCTACAACCACATGTAAGCCTATCAAACGAAGAAGCATTAGATGGGAACTGTAAAATCTAAATTAAGAAATAAATGCAAAACAAGTCTGCAACCCCCTCTAATTTTCCAATCGGCGGTGGGTTGTGATTCATGAACTTTTGGGAACTATTGTTAATCATACGAGTAGACCAGTGTATCCTTGTTCTTGCAACTGTATCCCCCAAGTTGTCAAGTGACTGCAGTTTTGAGAGGGGGCAAGGAAGATTGGCTCATCTATATCTTGTTTTCTAATTGTTGCCACTGGTACCAGTTTATTGTGCATGATTTTTTTTATTGGCCATCTTTTTGAAGTAAATTAGAGATTTTTGTTCTAGCCATCCGGGCTGATGTTCAAAGGAACTTGCTCTCATGGGTATTGCCATATATGATGTAGAGCTCCTATGTATGTCTCTCTTACGTTTTCTTATTACAGGCAAATTAAATGGATAAAATGATTAGATTGTCACCACTCACCACCATGTCAAATTACTTCTTTCCGTTCAATGTCACCCAAGTTAACAAATCAAAGTGAAGCTTAAGGGAGTTTAATTAGCTCATATATTCATAGGAAGTCATTGCTTATGAACTAAATCATGGACCTTAAACTATTAATGTCAATTGGACAGAAAGAATGTAATTGATATGTTGTGATAATTTAAGGATGTGATTGATAAATCTTCATGTTAAAACATGAAAGTGAAAGAAAAACATAAGGTTCAGTGGTCTCTTTGTTTATTTTTCCTTTTTTTGATCTTCTTTTTTTTATCTTTGTATATGAAATTGTTTAATTTTTGCTGTTTATGAAGCTTATGAATTGTGGCCATTAGCCTATTTTTTTTTTTCTCGTATTTTTGATATCTGATTCCTTTTGGTTTTCAGGTGGTAGTCATGGTGACACAAGTTTGTTTCCTGATGTTGATAGTTCTTGGAAAGTACGTCAAAAATATTCTATTACTTGCAAGATTCATGTGATTGTTGATATTTTTATCCTTGCTTATGAAATGCATGTCCATTTTCAATTTTTTAATTGTTTATCTTGAATCTGTAGCCTGCTAAATATAATGAATTTAGGAAGCTTTATGCTGCATTTTTAGACATGAAAAAAAATTAAGATTGAAATGGAATCGTCTTCTCAAATGGATTTTATGGGTGTTGTTTTTCTTTTGTCAAATTTGTATTATATTTCTGCAGACGTTCAATGAGATTCAGAAACTAGTTGGTAAAACTGATGGGAAAGTCGTTGGGGACTTGATGACACCTGCTCCACTTGTTGTTCATGAAACCACTAACCTTGAGGAAGCTGTAAGGTATTACTTGTTCCTTAATTAATTTGTAAAAACCATCATCCTACTTATTACACATATATGCAACTCAGGCCTTTCTGAAACCTTATTCGTATACCATATACTACCATCATCTTATATTTGAATTAAAGTTACGAGTGCTTCTTAATTACCTAATTTCATGTATGTTGGTATAATATGCAGGTTGTTGCTTGAAACAAAATACCGTCGGCTGCCAGTAGTGGATGTTGATGGGAAGCTGGTGAGGATGCTGCTTAATCAATTCCATTTTGCCCAAATATATATTGAATTGAAGGAGAGTTTGGTAATTGATTTGATATATGTATATATAGGTTGGACTTATTACACGGGGAGATGTTGTTCGGGCTGCACTCCGGATAAAAGATGCTATTAAGAAGATGCAATTATCACAAGATTGATGCTATTAAGAACCAAATTGGATTATTGCTGCTGTGAAGGCATCCTTGGAGTGGAATGAGTAAATTAATCAGCAACATGATGAGGTATTTTGATAGATTGTATATATATAGACCTTTTCTGGTATTCCTTATTGCATTGGTATTTAATTCCACATTTTTTGAAGATATTAGAGCATCCACATTGAAGAAGACAAATGTTGCTCTTTAAACAATCCGGTTGTATTTTGCTTTAATAATTCTATAATAACATGTTTATAAAACATATAAGTAACCACAAGGGTTGGTTTGAGCTTGGCTCCAAAGGTCAAAGGTACCTGGACTGGAGGTTCCAAGTTTAAATCCAAGGAGGAATAAAAATCTCCTTGTGGTCATGGAGGTTCAAATGCGGTGACTCCGGGCTATCTGCAAAGCAGGTGGTCGTCCTGGGATTAGTCGGCTCGCATAACGGGTTGGATATTCAGGTTAATAAAAAAAACATATAAGTTAAAATTGATGGGAAAAAAAACAATAATTATAAAATATCTTTTATACAAGTTTTCCTTTTTTGTTTTATTATTATGTTTTTATTGTTTTCTAAATATATATAAATAAAAATTATTTTATAAATTATAACCTAATCATTTCTCACATCTTTCTTTCACAAAACTAGAAAAACAAAAATCATTGAAAATTAAGAATGCGTCGGTGTTGATAAATTGGATCAATATAGAGGTAACTGATTCAACATAAATATTTTATAAAGAATAATTTGACATAAATACTAATTTTTCAAATTTGTATTTAAATTTTAATATGAATATCTTTGATTTCATTTTATAAATTAATCAATAAAACGAAAAAAAATATATTATTTTAATATTTATTGAATTAAAAGGTTCGGAAAAGTTACTTGTAAAATAACAAGTAAAATTGAAATAGCTTCATTTAAGGAATGTTTTAATAAATTATAACATCCGTGTTTTTACGGTTAACTGTTTAAGGATGTAGATTTGTTTTAGTAAGTTATTCAACGTCTAATTATTATTGAATGTTTGTGGCATTTGAATCAAGGGTCGTGGTTTAAGTTGAGTTATGTCAAAAGCCATACGGGACATTAAGGGACCCCCATCCAAGTTTGGTGTGTCAAATGACTTTTCAAGCCACTTCAGTCACGTTACAAGTCAATTTGAGATAAATGCTCGTTTTGGGATTTTTACCCAATAAGTTATAAGGACGATTTTCAAACCTTTTAATTTATAATTGTTTAAACGATAGGTATTTGTAACTTATTTGTTTATGTTGATTTTTACTGTTGCCAACTGTCAATTGAATGTAAATAAAAAAGCTCAAATTCCAATCGCATTGAATACAACATTGGTTTTGTTTGAATTGCAATAATATCTTTTTAATTTCTCACAAACATTGAATGAACTTTGTTGTGTCCCTCTTCATCATATATGTTTTGGGCTTAGCCCCCGACTGTCCCATTTTCAGAGTCTTCGACCATCAATAAGCTCAAATCGATTCAAATAAAAGTAATACAAACAAAATGATAGTCTAAGATATTCAGTTTAATAGAAATAGTAAAATAATAACTGAAAACATGAAGCATTTAACTTAAAAACTGAATAGCCTGAAACTGTTTTAGTTTGAATGGATTAGCTGCGAAATTTTTTACACCCTTAGATGTACATCCCAAATCATCTAAATTTCTAGATAACATAGGCCCTTCAGTTGACTAATTTGTTTATGTTCAAGCACGTGTCCATTACTTTTGCATCAGTAGTTGTTGATAACGACATAAGTGGTCAATAACGTGTATTATGAAGATAATCATTGATCATAATGGTTTTGAAGTACAAAACTAACCTACTTTTTTTTTATCTAACTTTACAATTCGTGTTTTATAAATACATTATTACCAAACTGAATCAATAATTACATCAGTTTGCATTTAATCAGATATAAAAATAATTAAAAAGTAAGAATGATATTTGCTTCTTGGTGGGAAATTGTTGTGTAATGGAGGAAATTTTGAATTAATGGTGGGTTTGTTAACATACCTTGAATGGGGGGAAGACTCCTTTTTGTCTCCCACTCTTGAACTAAAGAAGCCACTTTAGTGTTTTTTCTAAAGATCAATTATTAAATATGCTTCTTTGTTTGTTTAAAAAAGCAAACTCCATGTACTTCAAATAATTGTTCTTAAAAAATTCAATCAAATTAGGTTTGAGCTTGTCTCCAAAAGTCAAAAGTATCAGGAGTACCCAAGTTCAAATCCAAGGAAGACTAAAAATCCTCTTGTGGCCACGGAGGTTCAACTGCAGTGACTCTAGGCTATCTGCAAAGTAGGTGGTTGTCCTGGGATTAGTCGGCTCGCATAGCGGGTTGGATATCTAGGTTAATAAAAAAAACCAATCAAATTGTATGTTTTTTTCGTCTTTTTTTTATAAAAGATGTGCGGTTTTAGATTGTGGTTAATTTATTAGTGTGCACTCTACATCATCTATGTCGCGTAGATTTGGGTATGCAAGTTCGAACTCCCATAGAAGTTGACGCTTGGCAACCTCTGAAGTATTTTGGGAAGTCACATATAAGTCGAGTAGAACCCTCTGTTGATTATGATGTAGTTTAGATCAGTATGCATTTACAATATAAATTGGTATCAATATTCAGTAACTTGTAGCGTTAGCTCAACTAGTAACAAGACTTGGGTCTTTTGGGGATCTTTCTTAGAGGTTATTAGTTTGAGTCCTGCAAAGCCATTGGGAATTTTCATGATTGTTCTCCAGGGCATCTGGGATTAGACGAGATACGTACAAGCTGACCTAGACAACCATGGTTAATGAAAAAAATAATATTCGGTAACTTGGGTGTAAACTAATTTTACATTTATCCATAAAAAAGGGTTTAGCTATAATAATTGTTAGTAGTTGTTTGTTTACCTCTTAATAGTTCCATTAAGAGGCAGTCTCTGAATCGTTAAGAGATGAATATTGTTTGGAGAGAAAAAAAGTATGCCTCTTAATAATTCTAAAACTCCCTGAATGATTTTGTTAAGGGTCTCCCTTAACCTTCAGCGTCCTAATTTCATTATAAACAATTATATTTCATTTTGCACTATATCATGAGAGTCTCTTAATCATTATACATCAAGCTAGTTAGCAACTGTCAAACAGTCACGTTTGAGAATGGCAGAACACAAGTAATTATAGAAGGAGGGAGTTGAATACAATTACTCGCAATATTTTCAACTTCTTAAATTCTTACTGATATATATATATATATATATATATATATACTAGAAGGGTACTCGCGCAATGCAGCGAGATACATCTTGATTTTAATATTTCATTTTATTCTTTATCTCAGTCGATGTTATAATATGATTTTATGAGATTTTGAGAAAGCGATGATGTTTTTAATTTTGAATAAAATATAAGTTTGAATATATCATAAAAATTTGACAAAAATATATCGATATTAGTATCAAATTAACTATTTAAAATTCCTCATTTTTTGTGTAATTTTTTAATTCAACTTTTTATAATTTAATTTAGGTACAATAACAAAGTAATTTATATTTGGTTTAATAATATAATTTTACTATAAAGATAATAATTATTTATTTTGTTAGAACTCGATAATTATTCTAATTATATTTTAGATTTTTTTATTTTAAAATGAGATATTTATCCTCTATTTGATTATGTTTATCCGCAGTTAGTTATACGAATTCAAACATTGAGCTTTAATAAATTGTAGTTATGCATAATTTACTTGTAAKCTTKAATTTTAAGTAATATGTATCAAYATACAGTACTTTATACATAACAAAAGTATATTGATATTCGTATCAAATTAACTATTTAAATTTTTTCATTTTTTGTGTAATTTTTTAATTCAATTTTTATCATAATTTAATTTAGGTACAATAACGAAATAATTTATATTTGGTTTAATAATATAATTTTTATAAAAAGATAATAATTAATTATTTTGTTAGAATTCGATAATTATTCTAATTATATTTTAGATTTTTTAGATTTTAAAATAAAATGTTTATCCTCTATTTGATTATGTTTATCTGCAGTTAGTTATA